GTGCTGTCACATCTGCTGTCTTAGAGAAAAACATAAAATAATGGCAAAACATTAGAAAGTCTATTATAAAGAAAGTGTTAGGAAACTGACAGTTTAGAAATCTACATAATGAGTCTGCAGTCTGACTCTGCTCTCAGACAGCAGGACCTGCCCTGCTCAGATAAAACTTTGACTCTGGTTTTCTTGATTGGTTGAAAGCAGTGTCAGTTAGACCATCAACACTAGATTGAAGGCAACAACAACACACATTTTTTTCTTCTCATCCTTACCATCAGGAAATGTGTTGCAGAGAAGGCCAGGTGAAATGACATTTAATTGTTTCTGCCTGACAATTTAAGACCTTTGTGCATCATATTATGACTAATGTGAACCTTTTTTAAACAAATTTAAGACTTTTTAAGGACTTAATATAAGACACATTAATTTAATTTTTTTGACTCTGTATAAGAAAATTTTTTTTTAAAAATCATGTTGTTGAACTGAGTTTACAGATTACTGACTGTTTTTTTGCACGCTAAGAGGCATTGTGAAAGCATTTTAGCTTCACTGATCACTAATGAGTGCCATTCATAGCACATGCTCCTCTACAGATGTCCGCTCTAAGTAAACAAACAAAGCTTAATCTGGTGTGGAGGCATGTAAAGCCTGGAGTACCACTGGCCTAATAATGCTCTGGGGAAAACCCTGCAAAACTGTTTATCAACAGCACTTTGAACTATTCTGCCATTTGTAAATGTGTTTTAAACTCCACTACTGAATCATGTGTACTGCAGCAATACATCATTCTGAAATCATTTNGTCTTTTTATTTTTTTCCCCCGACACCGGAGGAGGGAAAAAAAGAAAAGACTGCAACCCGCGATGAGGAAAACACGTTTGTTCCACTTAGCTCACGGTTTTTATTTTTTCTAAAACGCAGTTTTAAATTTAAGTGTAAGAGCCTGTAGGACATTAAAAAAGCAATAAATCAAATAAAAAATTACCTTCCAACCAGTGCTCCAACCATATAAAGTAGCTCTCCTCTCACGTCCTTTCCTCCGTCCTCTTTTCCCAACAGGCGTTGATATCTCCACTGAGGTTGACATGTATGCATTTTGGACAAACAAATGTAAAACATTTACCCACAGAAGTGGAAAACTTCTTTCGTGCTCTCTTACTGCTGTGACTCATAACGTGACGGCCGCCATATTGCTTGCGATACAAGTTGCGTGCTATCAATACAACCACAAATTTTACGCTACGTAACTGTAATATTAAAAAATAGCTGCTTTCGCTTTGGAAATTAAGTGAGTCCACACACCAGCTTGGCTTAAACTTCAGAAATTTAAAACATTGTATTGCAACAGCATTGTACTGCAAGTGGCTAACAGCAACAGAAAATGGTGTACAAAAAGAACAAATACTTACTCACCAAATTTGTGCTCCAAGGATGAATATGACGAAAAAAAATAAAGCCACATGTCAGGAATCGTCTTCTTCCATGTGTCGTCTTCGCATCGCAGCGAACAACTAACTGCGGAAGTGAGCGCCA